GAAAAAACAGGACAACTTTCATGTATTTTGATATATGTTATAGGTTTACATTTAACAATCCGTTATCCCGCTAAGCGAATGGGTATGCGGCAAATAATAGGTCGATTTTGTAGCTGTTAAATTTGGCAGCAGATTTGGACGTTTGTTAATGCATGCCGCTCTCGAATTTACCAACTCCAATACACTGAAAGTTATCATTACATACCTGTTGAATAGTGTGGATTTGTCTGTATTTTGCAAGAAAATAGAATATAAAATACATTCCATCCAATTACTCATCTTCCTTTACGTCATAATAGTAATCATTTATTAATTTATGGGTTAATGAATTTTCTCAAAGCAATAAAAACATTATGTCCTCTCCATCCTAAAACACAGATAATATGTGTAAGACGTGTCAATCCCTACATCTCCCTGATGCATAATGCAATTACTATGGACAAAAAATTATGAAAAATGTTTTACAAATAATGTCTTTTAAGTCCAAAAATCATAAAAACTAGTAATGTTTTTTTTTTGACTGGCGGGGATATCTATCTGCCACTCGCAGGGTTGCCAAGTCTAACGACAATCACGTCCCGTGGTGGAGTGTGCGAAATGAATCTTTTACATTTGCTGGTTTTGAATTTTTTTCGTGAAAATTTACTAGGTATCATGATTATAAGCATCTTTGGTAGATTGTTCGATCCGGAATGGGAAAGATCTTCTATTTATGAAGATATTTTTGGTATCATCTAACCGTTGCGATCAGTGTACAAACACTGTGACATATGATTTATAGCATAACCCGCTGCCCTATCAATACAAATTTAACATACAGGTCGCCTAGCCGTGGGGATGCAGTGGGTTGAATATCACGGCAGCAACTGATGATTCAGGCATGTCTGGTAATAACGTATGAAGTGAAACTCGCTAACTTCACAAATTTGAAGATTTTGTACAATTTCTTTGAAAATGATGAAAGATATGTCTGATTTGGCAGGGTAATGTCGCAGCCAAATGGCAGTCACTCTTTCTGACACAATCCGGATCGAAGGATGACGATACTCGTGAAATGTATTGATACTTCTAAATATAGAATCGTATCGAACATCCCTACTGTCAGGATGTATAACCCAAGGTACCGACGGAGTTATTTTGCGGCGGAAATAATTTTTCATTTGCATTTTTTTAAGTGTTGTTTGTGCATTGATTTTGGGAAAAATGTCACGAATAGTCTTATAAAGCGTAGTAGAGTATATTTCAACAGTTGGCGGAACTTACTCCACTGGGACCAGGAGGGTGAAACGGGATATCAAAGCACACTCTGGCAACCCTGTCGCACCCTCACAAAATGGCCGCTGACAACCACGCAAGTCACCGTGTTGTCATTGAATAGCATGGAATTAAACCTTCAGAGTATATGCTTTGTGACTGGTACCAAGAGTTGACAGATCCCACACATGTGTCACTCCTTGAAATACAATAATCAGCTGTATTCAAATAATGTCTAATATAAATATAACCTAGAATGCGTACTCGTGAAAAAATAAAAATATAGCAAACTTGTAGTTTTTTTTCGCAGGTTTTAGGTTTGCTGGTAGCTTTAAGGCATGTATTTGGGAATTTCTTAATCGCTGTGAATATAGTGTGGATGTTTGTTCAGTTCCTGAACAACGAAAAATATTCAACTTTATGGATGAACGGATATCAAAAAATCTGAATGGTTTTGTGGGAATATCAATCTAAGGTGCCATAATGGTTCTGATGAACGGCAAGTGAATGAATGACTGTTTGGAAACGAGCCATATCTTCTGGTAGAGCCTGTCATCAAGTAGGTGCTTAATCGCTATCTGCAAGAGGTTTATAGGAAAAAACACCCAGTATCGCATATCTATTGAAGAAAATAATATAAACATGAATAAAAAATCAACAATAGTAATTAAAACATGAATTTTATTCAAAAATCCAAGATTTCTTTAAATTTTAACTGGATTATATGTAATTTCTTAATATTCAATAAGCTGGTGATGTTTCAATGACAAGCTGTCATCTCATACTTTGACAGTATTTTGTTTTCAACATTTCATAGCTATTGGTTGCTAAAATTTGTTTATTGGAACTTGAAGCTCATTCGTTGTATTTGACGGTCTGTTACCCTATAGGTGGAGAATAACGGACTGTTGTTGGTGAAATTGGCCCTTACGGTATTGGTTTTAATAATGTTCCTTATGTTGAGCTACTCTGATAATTTTGGAATAAACATTGAGCTACCAGACGTAAGCAATGTAAGCCAACTTAAATGAAATTATACACTAATAAACTTAAATAAACTAATAACTAATACATATTACATAACTAAGTATATCCATTCCTACGAATCGTAGGTGTTTAAAAAATAAACAAAAAATAAAAAAGCAACGCACTATTGTAAACAAATACATGTCCAGAAAAAAGATGCGTGTTGAATGCGAAGCCTGACACTCAAACTCACTGACATTTTTTTTACTGTTTAGAGTATAATTTGATTCCGCCATTCGAATTCATTTATTTAAACGTCCATCTGTAAGTCTATTACGCTATTTGTTTTTAATAAACTTTATATTTGAAAAAGAACATGCACACAAATAGGTTGAATCAAATGATGCTTTCTCTTTCAAGGCAACACGGCATAAAACTAAATATTTATCTTTACTTACTCAAAGCCACATACATTTTGTATCTAAGCCTGATGATTTTGAAGCTGAATCATTTAGAAACGCAATCGCTTTCAATGTCTGTTGTACAACTAACTGATTTTTTAATTGTTTCAGTTTTTCCGTTCTGGTTGTAGAACGTAATGGGAATGATTTTTCAAAATTCAAATGTACAGTTTTATAGTGCCTCTCGATATTCCCTTTCTTAGCAACTAAAACAGATGTATTACATAACAAACCATTTTTACCTTTAACTTCTGTAAAGAAATATTCTCTCTATTCCTAATGGAAATGGTATGTCTTCGTCTTCTTACTGCTGCTCATAATGCCGCTGTACTTTGTGCCGTCCAGTTTTAAACTGAGCGCACTTTTGCCACCCCTTGCGTATTTATTCCGTTCAAAGTAATCGAGATCGTTCTCGAACAGATCGCTCACCGCAGTGTTGCTGCTGCTAGTGTCTATTATGAGAATTTACAATATTTACGGAAGCTTCTATGGTTTTGACACCTTCTTAAAGTATGTTGTGAACCATCTTTGCGCGCTACCGTTAGCTCGCGATCGACGGGTTGGTGACCACTGATCTAGACCAATAAATTTCGCATTCAAGAACAAAATTTTCTTGACAGTGAATATTGGCTAAAATGGACAAGTTGATATCGACCTCCTGTAACCTTGACCAACTGTAATTGCATACAATGCTGCTTCGTCACATTGGGGTGTACCAAAAAAAAAATTGTTTTCAAACGGATATCCTCCATTTTTCCATTTTTTTACTCAACAACCCAAAAAAATAAATATTATTGTGATCGGCGAGCGATAAGCCGTGCCGAATTTCGGTCAAACTTTGAATTTGAAAGTTAACAGGGAAACCATGTATGAATTTCAAAAACCTAATTCTTATTTGCTGATTAAAACACAGCTTAATTTGTGTCTTATATTTCTTAGATACTTATCATTAAAAGAACATCAGTTACTAAATTATCTTTTGATATTACGCATTCCGGTGCCCTTCATTTGACGATAAAAATATGAAATCAAATGAAGATAGGATCCTCAGTGCAAGAAAATTTATCTTCAGATGCCGAGACGGATTTACTCAGAGCATGCGTCCTGATACTAATCAAACTCAAATTAGGAAAGGCCAAAATTAGTGGCAGCATTAGAGATGCGTCAGCTAAGTATGATAAATACTGTTTTTACTACTGAAGCAATCAGTGATACACTTGGACATAACACTGACGAGTTTCCTAAGACAGACAATATTGAAGCCTCATTTAGTTTATTTCGTAACTTGAAACTGAGTTATCTGTTTGTCTTAGATTAGTTCTTTTTCAATATGAAAAATGACTCAAAGATTTTTTGCAAAACCTTTCAACTGTATATTATTCATTTGGGTTTTCAAATTGTTGGTTTTTCTGAATAGATTTTTGAATTACGATAACAAGAAAATGTTATTAAGTTGGCAACGTCTTGTGAAATTTCAACCGTATTTAATACCTCTTCAGGATTCCATAAATACTATAATCTGGTATCATTTTGAAAATGTTTGAATAACACAGGTACTGGTAATGTTGCTTTCGTGAAACATAGAAATAACAAATAACAGTAGGCCCAGTACTGATTCTTGTGGTATGCTCAATGGTGGGTATCATTGAGGTTGTAGACAAAGATAACTTTCAAAGCTAAAAACGGAGCTGATTTATCGAGATCCATGAAATTCAATTTGCTTAGTAAGAACTTGTTATTGATACTATTGAAGACTTTTGAGTAATCAATTTATATCAATGTTAGGGGGGACCGGGGATGGTTAACTGGTTTTTTACAACATCATACATATTTTGTGTGCTTTCATACATACAGACAGTAAAACGGCATCAATGGATAGAAGAACTATTGAACTTATAAAAAAATATAAAAACTAGTCCATTATTCAATATAATGATCATGATTTAACGCATTTTACAGTACACCACTTCTTAGTCAATTTACCCCGGCTCCGGGGTAGATTGGCTATATAAACGAGGTAAGTAGATTTGCGTATCAATAAGTGGCAAATTACGAGAAGGGTCAAGTTATGAAACATTTTTTATAATCTAACAAAACTTTTTATTCAAAAACAATTTTAATCAGTTACAGACATTATCTTACAATAATCCTTTAACAAAACTATCAACTTCTAGTTTATATTTAAACATTTATCAGTTTCTTTAATTAAACAGTTCCTTTATATCTTATAATATAAGTCTTCAATATCAGAAGCGCAATGTTTGCATTCAAAAAACCTGAGATCACCTCTTACACATTTGGAATAAGCCCATAACTTACAAGTTAGGCACTGAATCCATTGTTCGCCTCGAACACTATCGACGTGGGATTCAGTGCACTCTAAACAAATCGTACTCTCATCATCTGAATCTACACCATTACCGTCATTTTCATCGACGGTGTCATCAACAATCTCATCAACTTTATCCATTCCTTTTCCATTACCCTTTCCTTTTCCTTTGACCTTCACTTTTCCTTTTTCTATTCTGTCCTTTGCATCTGTTTTTTTCTTCATATTTGTTTCTCTTTTGTTTTTCATATCTAAAAGATTTAGTTTTTCCGAGGTATCGGTATATATAGCTATTTTACGTTTCTGAATATTTCTCCTATTTTCTAAAAGTGGCGCGGCTTTTGGAACGTGTCTTAGCTCTTCAAATGTTGCTGATGAAGTTGAGAAAAGGTTTAGGTTGTGTAAAGATGGGTGCACATTTGCTTCTGTAGAATGAACGTCTTCTGGTGTTTTGAGGTTTTCTCTCAGTTCCGGTTCAAATACAGAATTGAATGTTTCGTCAAAAAGAGAACGTGACTCACACTCAGTTCTCAAACATCTTGTAGGAGAGGGTGTTATGGTAGTAATTTGGTCTGTATTTACAGATAAACCTTGCGGTGTCAGAGAATGAGCTTGAGTTATTGTATGGTGATCAGGAATAGGAACCTCTTTTATTTATTTATTTAGATTCAATACACTGCCTGAACGGAACACTCCATTGAACAGGCAGGAAGTACAGCATGCTCAGCCGACAGTTAGAAAATACCTTCGAAGGCTGTCTTTACTGTAGTGAAAGATATCAAGTGCACGTGCACTTTCACAAATGCCACACATAACATAGAGTGGTGAAAACAACAATAAGTTTGTGCTAGGAACAGGTAAATAGAATAAACTGTTGCTACCATGACGAGTACGCAAATTAGGTATGTGTAAATAAATTTTCTCTAAGAGTGAAGGACAATCAATGCTGCCATCGAGCAATTTACACAAAAAGGTAGCAGCGAATAAATGTCTGCGCTTCGTTAAATTTGGCAGATTGAATCTGCTTAATAATATGTCATTACGAAAGCCCCTTTCAGGATAAACTCTATCTTCTTTATACCACAAATACTTCACGAAACGTCGCTGAACTCTCTCAAGATTATGGGAATGTACATCGTAAGCCGGGTACCAAATAATAGAACAATATTCGAGAATAGATCTAACAAAAGCATAATATAGTAAGATTAAAGTTTTAGGATTATGAAATTGTCTGCTGTTTCTGATAACAAAACCAAGATTTTTGTACGCTTTTGCTACAATAGTATTTATCTGCTCGATAAATGTCATTCTGGGGTCAAACAAAACACCTAAATCTTTGAACGAAAAAACTCTCAGGAGCGAGCTGTTTCCAATCTCAAAGACAGATTCTATCGGTTCCAACTTGCGTGTTAGCGTCATAGTGCAACATTTATCAACATTCAAATGCATATTATTAACTTCACACCACTGATGTACAAGGTTCAGATCTGCTTGCAATGCTAAACTATCATCTAAGGTATTAACAAATCTAAAAATCTTGAGGTCGTCAGCATACAGCAAATACTCACACCGCAAGTCACTTACTATGTCGTTAATGAATATAAGAAATAACAAAGGGCCAAGGACTGAACCCTGGGGTACGCCTGACGTAGCCAACACCGGATATGATTTGTAACCACGATAATCTACACGTAAATGTCTGTTATTAATGTATGACTGGAAAAAATTAAGAAATCTAGACGTTAAACCAATTTTTGACAACTTCTGTATCAAAATACCGTGATCTAAACGGTCGAAAGCTTTTGAAAAATCGGTATCATCATCAACCTGCCCTCCTTTGTCCAAAACCTCAGCAGCGTATTGCTTGAAACATGCTAAATTACTACGTGTTGATCTACCTTTATAAAAACCATGTTGACCAGTACAGATGGTACGACTTACATGAGAACACACGACCTCAAAAAGTACAAACTCAAAAACTTTCGCCAAATTGCTCAAGATAACAATCGCTCTATAGTTCTCAATATGTGACCTATCGCCTTTCTTAAAAACTGGAGTAATTTTCGACATTTTCCATTTGTCATGAAAGGTTGCAGTTTTTAAAGACAAATTAAAAAGGTATGCTAAGGGCTGAGCAAGTACCGAAGCACAATCCTTAAGAAAGAAAGACGGTATGGAATCTGGACCTGTGGAGCATTTAGGTTTCAACTTATTCAGAGCATTTCGTACATGCTTCTCATGAACTGTTATAATAGATAGGCAAGAACTATCGTTCACTGAGGCAGAGTCAGATAAATATTCCGAGGAGGAAATATAAGTAGATTGGAAATATGCTGCACAGGCGTTTACTATTTGCTCAGGATTTTTCAACTCAGTATTTTCAGAAAACATGTTGCTAGGAATATTGGCGAAATTTTTGCGATGATTTACGAAGGACCAAAAGTTATTAGGGTTGTGAGCCAAAGCGCGCTCGGTTCTTTCAACAAAATTTGAATAAGCCATGTCAATATCGATTTTTATTGTTCTTCGTAAACTGCTAAATAATTCATAATCTGACAAATTACTTGTTCGCTTGTATCGTTTCCAGAGACGATGCTTTTTTCCGATTTTTGAGATAATAGAGCGAGAAAACCATGGAGGATATTTGTTATCTTTCGGCAATGTGTAAGGAACATGTCTATCAAATGCAACATACAATCGTTTATAAAAAAGATCGCAGGCAATACTAATATCCGTAATATGTGACGGGAGAGTTAAATCTAAATTCATGATGCTATTATAAAGAGCCGGGATGTTTGCTTTTTTAAAATTATACTGCGGAATACTGTTTGTATGGAAATTTCTCATGCGACAGGGAAAAGACACACGTACTTCTAGAGGAGGATGATAGGCATCGATAGGTAGTAAAATATCGGATGCAGCACTCACCTGCGCATAATTATTACAATACACTAAGTCCAGGATGCGATCATAAGCATTACGTATATGATTGTATTGAACTAAATTGAAGAAGTGGCTCATATTTTCGACAACCGAAATGTAATTGTTATAGTAAGTACTATCAATGAGGTAATTTATATATGTAGGGATATTGAAATCCCCCAGAAAAAGAATAGTATCATTAGGCTTGAAACAATCTAATTTAAGGATGTCTTCAAAAAAAGTTTCATAAGTCTCCACAGTAAGATTTGGAGGAATATAAACAAGGAGGAGGTAAACTGTACAGCGAATGAGTTCAATTCTAATCCCAACAACATCAATTTCCGAGACTGAACATTGAAAATCAATTGCAACTCCTTTATATTTTTTATGTATCGCTAATAAAACTCCACCTCCCTTAGTCTGGCCAGTTTGTACATATTTCCTATCTGATCTGAAAACACTAAATTCGCTACTCATAAACTCGCTATTATGGATGCTATCATCAATCCAAGTCTCAGTCAAAGCAATTAGATCATAAGGACAAGTATAGGACGCATTGAATAAAGTGTGCAATTTGGTTTTTAATCCTCTAACATTCTGATAATAAATACAGAAGTCTGTTCGATCATATTGAGCAATATCTTCATTATGCTCGATTCCAGAATCTAAATTTACACAGGATAGTTGCTATATGTCACCTGTTATAGATTTTTTGTATTCATTTAATTTATTTTTGTATACTGTACATTGATTTGTATCCCAGGCAGCGTGATCTGTTTTTGAATGACGGGCGTTTACACAATTAATACATTTCAGATTGACAGATCGACAATCAGACACTTTATGATCCAAAGAGCATTTTACACAGGTTTGACTACTACTTCTACAATTTTTTGCATAATGATTCAGCCCACAGCATTTAAAGCACAATTTTAAATTGATTGCGTCATAAACCGCACAACTATCATAATTGACAAGGACCTTACCTTGATTGAGAACATTAGCATAAGTAGTACAATCTACATCTAAAATAGCTTGATAAACAGTAGCTGATTTTTTTGTTGGCCAAACTTTTAAAACACTACACTCACTTTCAGCATGAAACGCATTATTTTGAGATTTCAGCATTGTACACAACTCCTCTTTTTCGATACACTGAGACATTCCAACAATTTTTAAGCGCGGGTTGAACTTCCTCACCTCCTTCACCTCATAATCGGCAGAAAGGTGCCGCGACGCCAAATCCTTCAGTTTATTGGCATCATCCGAACCATCACATTTGATCAGTATTCCACCGTTTTTTACATTTTTCACCTGAGAAAATCTTATATTGTTATCTACAGGGTCAACAGACTGACTAATTCTAAGCCTCGTAGCAGAATGAGACTGATCATTGTTTTTTGGCGTAACAATCACGTTCACAGTCTTTTTCAAGGTATTTGCATATGAGGCACTTGGACCCGGGACCCTTTGTGAGACAGTCTGTTCCAAAGTTTCATCAACCTTATTTATCAGATGACCTTTAGCCTCGGAGAAAATATTATAAACATCAGCAATAAGTGTATCTACTTTATCATCAATTTTGATAAATACTCGATCAAAATCTTTTTTCTGCTGAGAGCATGTAGGACAGTACCAGAATAAACCAGGTGTTCTTATTATCTTCAATACATCTGATGGAATTCCCACACAAGAAATGTGACGTGTCTTCGACGATAGACAACCTGTTAGATGCAGTATTATCACCATCAGGGGAAGTGAGCATCGGCCTATCTGTCACATCCCGGATACTCCGAATCCTGATTGAATATTTTCAATTGTAGCAGCCAATGGTAGTGACGTTTTAACCAGCTCCGGTAAGAGGGATGTCTTTTAAGTTTTGCATATAGAAACATAGTAGGCCGCGCGGATCGAACGTCAGTACTGAATCTTAATCTCATTCTTTAGTAAACTTAAATTCAAACCTTCACAACAATACATGCAATGTTCTCACTACAGTGAATGTTTAAGTGTCACCAAGTCATTAGAAAAATGGAACTCACCCGAGAACATTTTCGCGCCATAATTTATCACAACCTTCAGAGATAATTATCGCAACAAGACAGCCTTACTGAGTTACTGTCTGTTTTCGGCAACGAAGCGTTGGTATGGCGAATTCAAACGTGGACGGGTGAGTCTTAGCGACGATCCCAGGGTGGGTGCACCAAAAACGGCATTCACCCAGGAAAACGTCGATGCTGTGCACAAACTCATCATTGAAGATAGACATGTGACATATCGCGAGATTGAGGGGTCCTTGAAGATCTCAAATACATCAATTCAAAAAATTTTACATGAAAAATTAGGAGTAAGAAAATTAGTTTCTCGTTGGATACCCCACCTGTTGACTGAAGAGCAGAAAGCAGTCAGGATTAATTGGTGTCAAAAAACGCTTGACCGTTTCAATTCCGGAAGCTCGAAAAATGTGTACAGCATTGTTAGTAGTGATGAATCGTGGATTTACTGTTATGAACCAGAAAATAAACGACAGTCGGCTGTTTGGGTGTTCCAAGGTGATGAAAAGCCAACAAAAGTCATCCGTTCTCGAAGTGTTTCGAAAAAGATGGTCGCGACATTTGTGTCAAAAGCGGATCATATTGCAACAATTCCTCTTAATGAGCAAATAACTGTTACTGCGGATTGGTATACCACCATTTGATTGCCAAAAGTCATCACCGAGCTTCGAAAAATCAACACCGAAAGAAGAATCATCCTGCACCAAGACAATGCAAGCTCGCACACAGCCCAAAAAACAAGGCAGTATTTAACGGAAGAAAACGTGGAATTATCGGACCATCCTCCATATAGTCCCGATCTAAGTCCTAACGATTTCTTTCCTTTCCCGAAAATTATAACCAGACTGCGTGGTCAAAGGTTCCAGTCACCAGAAGAAGCAGTTGATACATTCAAAAATGCCGTTTTGGATCTGCCAGCAAGGTGCTAAAGTCGTTTAAAACTACCTACCGTGTTGTTTTATTGCCATATGCAAAACTTAAAAGACATCCCTCGTATTTCATAAATTGTGACAGCATTTCCCGGGTTACTAGCCAGCCAGTTGTCACATGCTCGGTTGAATTACTTTTTCAATGGTCCGTACACAGATCTGGCAAGATGTGGAGGGAATAATAAAACTATCACCCCATTACTTTTAAAGTAATCCAACGCTTCAGTTGATATGTGAGAGTCATGGTTATCCAGCAACAAAGGTACTGGTTTTTCTTTACTAGGTTTAACATGTTTCACGAACTGTTTGGCGTACTTCATAAAATTGTCTTCTTTCATCCAGCCAGGTGAATCAGCATCACCTTCACGTCCTACAGGGCCACCTCTAACAAAATGGGACTTATAATGGACGCGTGGGAATACGATATATGCCGGAACTGTATTTCCTACAGCTGAAACAGCTACTGCAACTGTCACCAGTGTACCCCTCTCAGCAGATGTCATCTTGCCTAGATTTTTAACACCACCTCGTGCTATTACTCTATTAGGTACTTGCTCGGTTGTCATACCTGTTTCATCAACGTTCCAGATATCACTAGGGCTTAAATTTAAACGTTGGTAAACGGCAGTTAAATTAGCGAAGAACATACTGACGTTATGTTTGTTGAATGATGTAGCTCTCGAAAAATTGCAAAACTAGGCGTTTCTGCGACTTTAAGGTGCTAAAAATCCATTTTTACTATCGATTGCTACATGAGAGCGGAGCTTTGCACAATGAGGTAATTTGGGGCGCTGAATATGAATATCACAAAGAAAAATTTCTTAAGTGTTATCAGACTGGATTTAGGGTGAAAAGTTGACAAGAAACTATTTTTCCGGGCTAGCCGTAAATTCTAGCAATGTATCGATATCGCATTTGGAATCTACGCACCCGGTTTACCCAGAAAACAAGTTTCCATCTCGATCATAGACGCGCAAGGGTTTTTAGAAATTTCTTATTGGTCGTCTTTTGACAAAGTTGGATTCTTGCCAGTATCTTGAAAACGAGGAATTTTCGGACGGAATGGGCCATGGATTCGGTTTCAGCGACCCAAAAAGCATATTATAAGATATGTTGCGTTCACGTTCCCGACTGACCCATTTTGTGCCTTTTTGACAAGCTCTCTCTAGGACACCTTTTGGTGTATCAGCTCGTTCAGTCCCTCTTTTATTGGTCCTCATTGTACTGTAACAAAATGAATATTAAAACACGAATAAAAGGTTAATTTGCGAGATATTTTAAGCTCCAAATTATATTGGGGTTGGTTGACTAACTATTCAACCAGCCCCGAAAGAAAGTTAGTCTACCAACCCCAGACGCCATTTTAAGTTTCAGTGGCATGGGTTACCTAAACACTGTCATCAGCTTATGAGATAATACGTGAACTATTATCAACATGCACTCAGGAGACACTCTGACTAATAGGCAAACGGTTAACATAAAATGTGTAAGTGTCACATGGAAAAATATGCAATATGAAAATATACTAAGTGACATATAAACCCGAACACCCAGTTTAAATGGTTTTATTTTAATAAAAGTTGGTGAATGTATTTATCTTACTGCAAATAACAAGTGAAAAAATTTTCAGCCTTATCAGTTGACATTCCGGTTTTTATACTGCTTTTTTTTTAATTCACTAACGCTCTAAAAATGAATATTTCAGCCGCAGTAAAGAATCAACGTTGGCGGATTTTGGTTCTTGACATCCTTTACGATCGGTTACGATGCCTAGAGTACGGAGACCTGTACGATTTCGCCAACTTAGTGAGTTTGATAGGGGCCGTATAGTGGGACTTCGGGAAGCTGGACTTTCTTTTCGGGCAATTGCAGTTAGAGTGCAAAGAAGTGTAGACACTGTGGTTAGGTGTTGTCAGGCATGGCTTCGACAAGGCCGTAGGCAAAGAGCAAGGGGCACTGGACGCCGCCGCCGCCTAAGATTTTTGGCCTTAAGGGACCGTTTCTCGACTACCAGGTCCATTGCAAATGAATGGTTTGCAGAACACGGAAGACCTATTGGCATGCAAAGTGTTTACCGACGAATGAGAAGTTTTGGCTTGTTTTCATACCGGCCACACTAGGTCCTCCCTTTAACTCGAGAACACCGAAGTAATCGCCTTGAGTGGTGCAGACAACGGTCACTCTGGGATCAGGAATGGAACAGTATTGTCTTTAGTGACGAGTCTCGATTTTGTTTAGGCACGCACGATGGTCGTGCAAGGGCTAGAAGGCGACGTGGTGAAAGGAGGAATCCACAGTTTTTTGTTGAAAGACATGTTCATCACACTGTTGGAGTTATGGTTTGGGGTGCTATAGCTTATGGTTCCAGGTCACCTTTAATCTTCATCAGAGGTAACATGAACGTGCAGCGTTATATCCACGAAGTTCTAGAACCCCATCTTTTACCCTATCTTGACACCCTGGCAGATCCAACTTTCCAACAAGATAATGCCCGACCACATGTTGCAAGAGTCACAATAGACTTCTTTCAACATAATGATGTCACATTGTTACCATGGCCACCAAGATCTCCCGACTTATCCCCAATTGAGCACGTGTGGGATATGATGGGTAGGAGATTGCTCAATTTGCAACGTCCTCCTCAGACTCTAGAAGCACTTCGAGAGGAGTTGGTGGTTGCCTGGAATGAGATACCACATGAGACCACCTGATCAGAAGCATGCCTAGGCGCGTTGGAGAATGCGTAGCACATCAGGATGCATCCACACATTATTAAAGGTCAAAGGGCTTTAAAGCAGTGCAACCATTTTGAAATGTTTATCATTTACTTATTATGCTTCATTAAGTACTTATACAAAATTTTATTAAAATAAAACCATCCAAACTGGGTGTTCGGATTTATATGTCACTTAGTATATCAATTGCATGATCCGAAAACAAATCACGTGCCACTGCTCGAAAACGGCGTGCATCCGCGACGCGGCGCGCCGGGCGACTAAACGGGAGTCGGTGAGTGATGCGCGGCTGGGCCGGGTTGACGTAATACTCATATCGTTGACGAGTTTTTGGCGGTTAGTCTACCTACCCTTATAGTCAACCATCCCCGGTCTTCCCTACTGATAATTTCTTATCTAAAGCTCGTAGGATATTTTCCTGCAGATTGTGTAAAGCAGATATTGTACTGCAGCTCTTCCTAAAACCAGACTGACTGTCAGGAACTGTACCCAATATCGTCCCCATATTCGATAATTTGGGCATAACCACTATTCTCATCTCAGAAAACAACATTACGGTGGTCTTCTCTTCCCCCCTCCTCCTCAGCTCGACTATTCGTTACAAAGGGCGACACGAAAATAATGGCAAACAAAGCTTGTAAATCTTTTTAGAGGTAACGCATACATACCATGTTATTTTATTCATCAACATGTCCCATCGGAGTCGTATTTCTTGAGTTCTCTCAGGAAAAATTCAAGGGAAGAGTGGAGCTCGTTAAATATATGGAAATGTTTGTTTTGAACATTATAATGCGTGGAATGGAAATGTGCTTTTTAGGATAAAGAGCGTTATTTATGTCGTATGAGTGTCCTAAGGAAGCAACGGAGGAGTTTTCTCTAGAGTTCCCTTGATGATTTGGGGTGCTTTCGGGATGTAACCCTGTGAAGTTAAGGGACGAAAGAATCTATAATAACAAAGTGCACATTATTTGTAACTGCAAGCAGTTCCAGTCGCGCCGTTAAGTGCATAATTCTAAGACGAAAATGTCGCAGGTGTCTTTTTAAGCAGATAAAACACAATATTGGCGGTATTATTTTATACAGGGTGGCCGATATGTAACTGACCGGATTTTTCCATCTAAACCTTTTACTGAAACTTAGAAATTATGTTTGAAGAACAGTATCAGATAGCCCTCTTCATCACAGTTTCCATCAGTCTTTGGTAGGTTTCGATAGAAATATTTTCAATTGCTTGCGTATATTGTTCTTCAGCTGGTCTACAGTAACTGTTTGTTGGCATAAACCATATTTGTCTAAAATCCCCATAAAAAACGTCAGAAGCCATTAAATTTGGTGACCTTGGTGGCCAGTCCACATCACCAACTCAAGAAATTAAACGTCCCGGAAATAATGTTCGCAAAAGATTCATTGTTTCCTCAGCTGTGTGATAAGTTGCTGCGCCCTGCTGAAACCACATATTTTAGAGATTAAAGTGTTGGTTCTGAGGAGGCAAAAAGTTTTGCACCATATCACGGTAGCGCCCACCAGTGACAGTAAGAGAATTACCTGCAGCGTCTTCAAAGAAATAAGGTCCAATGATACTTCCATATGAAACACCGCTCCAAACTGTGACTCGACGAGGATCTAGTGGTCGTTGATGGACGACACGAGGTTTCTCTTGTGCCCGATATGACAGCCCGACCTTGGCAAGTCTTTAACTCCACTTGTTTGTGCAAATCTCTGCACCAACTAACGAATGGTGTTGACACTGAGCACATTATTTCAACCGAAACCTTGCCGTATCTTCCGAATCCTTGCAACAATCGACTTATTATTTAAGTAAAGCGTTTTAGTACGGACGCGTTGTGGGATCCTGTAGTGCTCCATGATGAATTGGACACATGTGCTTTAAACAACTACTACGACGCCACCTACCGAAATGCGTGTATCAAAACTGTCAGTTACATTTTGGCCACGCTGTAGATCATATATACAGCATTACTTATTTTGGAAATGATTATAATACACATCGAATCTACCGATGAGGAGGATAGAGGCTGATGATGATATATTGTTACATATTACCATTCCATTGAAGAGGTGCGATTCATAAAACTACCCTAATATCCTTCTAGAAATGTATAACGTTGATCTCTATATCATCTACAGGCATTTTTGGCAAAATATGTACAATATTCAAGGCGTAGCTACTGTGACTGCAGCGACTTTGTAACCCACTATCATAACTTTCAGTAGATGATAGATTGCTGTCGTTTCCCGACACGTTATTTTAGAAACGCTTGTATCGATTTTGAGGAGGCTTTGACAAAGACTGTGTGCAAATATACGCTGGTTGCATGTAAAATAGACTACGTGGCAACATACACATTATTCTTTAAAGGCACACCCTGTGTATTTCCTGGAAGGGCCGTTCAGTACCTATGTTTCATAACTTGAAGCTTGGATCGTAGTTCACAAAGTCTCGATCTGAGATATTGGGAACTTCAGAACTTTGAATTTAAATAGATGCTTTGTAGTTTGAATTTCCAGATTTTAATGACAACATAACCATTCAAACAAATTTGTATAAAGCTTGGACCGAAGGCTTAAATTTAAAAGACATA